GACTCATAGACTCATAGACTCATAGACTTTAAGGTCAGAAGGGACCATTATGATCATCTGGGCCGACCCCCTGCATGCTGCAGGTCACAAAACCGTCCCTACCCCTTCCCTTGACTCTGCTGATGAAGTCCCCAAATCCTGTGTCTTGGTGACTTCAATTGGCAGAGAACCCTCCTGCTAGCGATCCCTGCCCCATGCTGCGGAGGAAGGCGAAAAACCTCCAGGGCCTCAGCCAATCTACCCTGGAGGAAAATTCCTTCCCGACCCCAAATATGGCGATCAGTAAAACCCCGAGCATGTAGGCAAGAGTCTCCAGCCTGACCCTTGTTAGCCATTATACTATTTACCTGCTATTGCTCGGTATTCCTCAGCTAATATGTTTTACCATTAAACCATTCCCTCCATAAACTTATCTAATTTAATCTTAAAACCAGACAGGTCCCTTGCCCCCACCGTTTCCCTCGGTAGGCCGTTCCAATATTTCACCCCTCTGACGGTCAGAAACCTTCGTCTAATTTCAAGCCTAAACTTCCCCACGGCCAGTTTATATCCATTCGTTCTCGTGTCCACATTAGTACTCCTGTGAGAGTGAGAGTGAAAGAGGGTCTGGACAGGTGTCTGTATTTGGGGGTGTTGGCTCTGCCTAAAGTGTCCTAGATGCCATTTGACCCTCTCCCCCGTCTCTATGTAAAGGCAGAGCTGATCAGACACACTGGAGAATCTTTGTTTTGTTAAGTGATCGCTAGAGCTGAAATCACTGAGAACCAGGTCTAGCCGCTGAGCCTTAGGGCCCGTCTACGCTTAACATGCTGCATCAGCACAACTGCACCGAGGCAACTGTGGTGTTGTGGCACTTTAATGGAGATGCTCTATGCTGACGGGAGAGAGCTTCTCCATCGGTGTAGTTAATCCACCTCTCTGAGAGGTGGTAGCTGTGTTGATGGGAGAAGCTCTCCTGCCAGCACAGTGCTGTCTACACTGGAGGTCAGATGGATATAACTACATCGCACAGGGCACGAGCCGGCTTGTTGCTTCAGCAGTGATGTTATCCTGGTCCCCTCCCGGCTTTGCAGATGGGACGGTCTCAGAATTGGTTCCCCCCTCCACTTGAGAATCTCAGGGCTCCCGGTGGAACAGCAGAGGAAAACTGGGACAACCGTGTATCCCAGGGAAGCACGGAGGGCCCGACTCGTCTTCCAGAGCTGAACCCCTCTGCAGGCCGGACGGCTGAGCCAGGGGCAACAGCCATCTACCTCGCTGCACGTATATCTCCATGAACTACCCCCATCATCCTGTCACCTGCCCTCTTGCAGCCCCACAAAGCTTTCCTTAAGCTCTCCCTACACAGCACTCTGTCCAGCCCTCCTGGGCACATAGAGTATAGAATGTCACCGCGGTGTCTACACAGGGGGTCAGGCTGGTAAAACTATGTCACACCGGGAGCAGGTGTGTGTGGATTTTTCACCCCCCTGAGTAACATAGTTACACCGATATAGGTCTGTAGTTCAGACCAGACCTCGGTTGTATCTGTGGTGATGGCAGCAGCAGCCGAGGCATTCCTCGACGGCATCTCCCCACCTCCCACCCCTCCAGCAGGAGTTTAATTCACATGAACGCTCTGAACTCTGGGTCTTCACCAGCCAGGGACAGCAGCTGTGAGTGGGGTGCAGGGGAGGGAAAAGGCAAAGGCAGGTTAAAGGAGAATTTGTTGGACTTTCACACCACAAGGGGAGAAACTGAGGCAAAGGACATTGCCCAATATATTCTGGGGTAGAATTTTGTTCATGGCTAAGGCTACGATTACGTCACCTTGTGAGGCTCCACTGCCCGGACTTGTCTTCTCCCATGGGCTCAGCCGCGATGCTGATCTTCTTGATGCCTTGGAAAGGGGCCGCGTAGGGTGCAGCAGCGGCAGGGAGAAGGCTGTCTCCATCACCAAGCATCTCCGACTCCCCCATGGTGGGTGACGGAGGACCCTCTGCAGTTGCCCAGCCATGCCAGGAAGAGGAGGGACCCCCTGGAGCTCTCAGCCACCGCAGGGGGTGAGGGTACCCCACAGCAGCCCATCCCCCATGAGAAATGGGGGACCATAGAGCTTCCACTTCCCACAGGTGGCATGGAGCTCCTCGAAGCGCCCACTCACTGCCATGGTGGTGGGGGACCCTGGAGCTCCAGCAGCAGTGGCGCTGAGCTGAACCGCCTCCCTGTTTTGTCAGTATATTTTTAGTGAAAGTCAGGACAGATCACAGGCTATCGTGAATTTTTGTTTATTTCCCGCAACCTGTGGGTGATTTTTACTAAAAATATCTTAGCCTTACTCATGGTCACAAGCTTTCGAATAGTGGTTGTGGGCTTTCCCAGATTACTGCCAGGTTCCTTTCCCCTTTTTATTAAAAGTTCTCTTTGTTATACACAGACTCAGTGCAGAGGGGACGTATTGCCTCTTGGAGGTGCCTGAGGTGGTCTGAAGTTTTCCCAGGTTGCTGGGTGGGGGCTCCAGCTGGTTCTGTTTTGTATTGGAACCCTTAGGTATTGAACCTGGACCGGGTTGCTGCCGACTCCACCTGGCAGAAGGGTTACACTTGGCAAGAAAAGCAGAAAAATGACAATAGGTTCCAAAGCCACTAAGAGTGTAATGTGCAAACCGGTGCATTGTCTCTAGGAGGTGATGCTCAGAGCCCCTGGATCCCTGACCCATAGGGATAATGGGGCCAAGGGAAATTCTTCACGGTGCTGACTACTCATTGGGGATGATCCGTCTGCACTGACAGCTCATTGGGGATGATCCGTCTGCACTGCCAATCCTAGGGGACAATATGATATATTCAGATCATGATACTGCAAGAGCCAATGCCTGCCTAGTCCACAGTGAGTGACCCCTGGAGCTCTCAGGAGAGCCAAGGGAAGGGAATGTGGAGATGCCAGGACAGGCCGTTCTGTTCTGGAGCCTCAGACATCTAGGATACTCCTCGATAATGACCGACTCTCACTGACACTTGTAATCACTTTCCCAGCTGGCACCCTGTCTAGGAACTCAGCAAAGGGAACTGCTTTGCACCTTTCCAGCAGTAATGGGACCCAGCTAGAGATGACTGTTTCACAGGCGGGTACTGAAACAGAGCAGAGGACCTCTTACCGTGTTGGTGCTGGTGGTGGGGACAGCAGACATGGAGAGATCGTATGTCTCAGACTTTGTACTGAACATTCTGAATCTCTTGATCCATCTCCTGTACTCTTCTCTCACCTGGAGAGTGAGAGACACAGTCACTGCACCATGTAACTAAGTCTGAGAAGATCAGACATTGCCACCATGAGGCCGGTGAAGGTGCTGAGGGGTTGATGACAAGCACGGGCGTTACCTGGCGATTGAGGAGACAGTGCACCAGGAAGATGAAGGCTCCCTGCAGGCTGTTGACAATGGTGAATAAATACGCCATGACCGTGGCTGCTGGGCCGACTTGGAGGAGACCAAGGCTCCATGTGCAGCCCAGAATGAAGAGCTGGGCGATGGCTTTAAAGGTCAGTAACCTGGATAAAGGCAGATGGAGAGATCCCATTACAAAAACCCTATGGAGAGCATTTGGGTTAGGAGGATCTGAGCAGGGTAGGGTGGAGCTACCGGCCCCAGCTTTCCTGTGTGGGAACAGGGTTACTGTCAATGCAAACACTATGGGAATTCATTCCCATGGATGCTAGATATGCTGTTCCCCTCCTGCAATCCTTCACACCATCCCGGTGCCAAGGACTCTCTAAACCAAGGCATCTGACCCTCCAGGACTGTTTTGTTGCCATCTCACCTGTGGTCTCTGACGGTGGACACATCTGCATTGAGAGAGGAGAGTTTGTTTCTCAGGATCCACAGGGTCACGGTAAAGAACGTTATATTTATCTGTGGGAACAGTGGGAAATATTTCCTGTAAAACTTCCCATCCGGGGCTGGTAACTCCAGCTGAGGCAGAGAACGATCCCAAGGGACAAATCCAAGCACTGCGGAACCAGGTACTACTCATTTGCACCTTTTCAACAGTAATGGAATGGGGGTGAGGGTTCCACGACCACCGCTCCCAAGAGAAGGAGGAGGGTGGTGGTGGTCGGGGACTCCCTCCTCAGGGGGACGGAGTCATCTATCTGCCACCCCGACCGAGAAAACCAAAAGGTCTGCTGCTTGCCAGGAGCAAGGATTCACAATGTGATGGAGATACTGCCACGACTCATCAAGCCCTCGGATCGCTGTCCCTTCCTGCTTCTCCACGTGGGCACCAATGAATGACTGCCAAGAATGACCTTGAGCGGATAACTGCAGACTCGGTGGCTCTGGGAAGAAGGATAAAGGAGTTTGAGGTGCAAGTGGTGTTCTTGTCCATCCTCCCTGTGCAGGCAAAAGGCCTGGGTAGAGACCGTTGAATTGTGGAAGTCAATGAATGGCTACGTAGGTGGTGTCAGAGAGAAGGCTTTGGATTCTTTGACCATGGGATGGTGTTCCAAGAAGGAGGAGTGCTAGGCAGAGACGGGCTCCACCTAACGAAGAGAGGGAAGAGCATCTTCGCAAGCAGGCTGGCTAACCTAGTGAGGAGGGCTTTAAACTAGGTTCACCGGGGGAAGGAGACCAAAGCCCTGAGGTAAGTGGGGAAATGGGATACTGGGAGGAAGCACAAGCAGGAGAGCGCAAGAGGGGAGGACTCCTGTCTCAGACTGAGAAAGCAGTACAATCAGCGAGTTTATCTTAAGTGCCTATACACAAATGCAAGAAGCCTGGAAAACAAGCAGGGAGAACTGGAAGTCCTGGCACAGTCAAGGAACTATGATGTCATTGGAATAACAGAGACTTGGTGGGATGACTCACATGACTGGAGTACTGTCATGGATGGATATAAACTGTTCAGGAAGGAGACAGGGCAGAAAAGGTGGGGGAGTTGCATTGTATGTAAGAGAGCAGTGTGACTGCTCAGAGCTCCGGTATGAAACTGCAGAAAAACCTGAGAGTCTCTGGATTAAGTTTAGAAGTGCGAGCAACAAGGGTGATGGCGTGGTGGGAGTCTGCTATAGACCACCAGACCAGGGCGATGAGGTGGACAAGGCTTTCTTCCGGCAACTAGCAGAAGTTACTAGATTGCAGGCCCTGGTTCTCATGGGAGACTTTAATCACCCTGATATCTGCTGGGAGAGCAATACAGTGGTGCACAGACAATCCAGAAAGTTTTTGGAAAGTGTAGGGGACAATTTCCTGGTGCAAGTGCTGGAGGAACCACCTGGGGTAGAGCTCTTCTAGACCTGCTGCTAACAAACCGGGAAGAATTAGTAGGGGAAGCAAAAGTGGATGGAAACCTGGGAGGCAGTGACCATGAGATGGTTGAGTTCAGGATCCTGACACAAGGAAGAAAGGAG